TAGGCAAGAGGGGCCTAAGCCAAGTATCCACCGCCACCACAACAGAGGCCGTGGTCTGATGGAGGGTTGTGTGGTGCCATTGGTCGTGATTAGGTTGGGTGAGGCCGTGGGGATTGGGGTGGCAAATGCATTGGGAAAACAAGATGGGGGAGCAGGCTCACCTCGAGGGTGGGGGTGGTGGGCAGAGGCGGCAGCCAGGCGGGGGGCGGTGCCGGCGTGGGCGGAGTGATAGGTGCAGGCGGAGCGAGGGGCGCGGGTGGTTGTGATAGGTGAGCCTCGTGGGCAGCAAACACGGGTTCCAGCTTGTCACCATGTCCTTCTTGACGTCCGACATCGAGGGGCGTTTTGCCACTCTGAAAACATGTGGTTGAAGCGTGTGAGGTGGGCAACGACGCGAGGGTTGAGTTGGGCGACGTGCATTTGCTTTCTCATAACAAAGGCGAGGTGACAATGCTTTGAAGTGGGCCGAAGACGCCAGACGCGCGAGTGGTGTGCAAATGGTGCGGGCAGGTAGCAGGGGTCCGAACGGAGGCGTGCTTGGAGAGAGGAAAAAAAAAAAAGGATACGGCGCGTGTGCCGGGGGCAAAAGTCAAGGCACGGTCACCGAGAGCCGCTTGGGCGAGCGAGGGAGGCAGAGGCGTGATGGCAAGGGGTTGGGGATGGATCAGAAAAAGGGGAGAGCGAAAACGGCAGGCGGAAGAGACAAGTGGGGCGCGGGGAGCACCGACAACGGGCGGACGCAAAACGGGGGAAGAAGAGGGATAGCGGGAAAGAAGCAAAGGAGCCAGGGGTGGAGAACGGGCGCGCACGGGTGGGCAGGGTGTAGCGGAGAGGAGGGACGGGGGCAAAGGCGACGGGGCAGCGGGAGCAGGAGCAGCAGTCAGAGGGGTAAAGGGGGGGAAGAGGGAGGTACTGTACTGACGTTTTTCTTGGCTTTAGCATCAGCACCGTGCTTCAACAGCATCTCCACCACCTTGACATAACCGTTACCGCAGGCCTCGTGCAGTGGTGTTTCGCCAAACTGTGGGATGATGCATCAGCATGACGTACAGGTACAGCATCATCATCATCATCATCATCATCATGGGGTACGGGTGCACCATCATAGAGGGGTAAAGGGGAGAAGAGGGAGGTACTGTACTGACCCTGTTCTTGGCTTCAGTATCAGCACCGTGCTTCAACAGCATCTCCACCACCTTGACATCACCCTTACGGCAGGCATAGTGCAGTGGTGTATAGCCATACTGTGGGATGATGCATCAGCATGACGTACAGGTACAGCAGTCATCATCATCATCATCATCATGGGGTACAGGTGCACCATCATAGGGGGGTTAAAGGGGGGGAAGAGGGAGGTACTGTACTGACGCTGGACTTGGCTTTAGCATCAGCACCGTGCTTCAACAGCATCTCCACCACCTTGACATGACCGTAAAGGCAGGCCCAGTGCAGTGGTGTATAGCCATCCTGTGGGAGGATGCAAACATGCAGTATATGTCCCATGTTATACCATAACGTCACCCCATCCAGTGACACTTTCAAAGTGTAACCAATAGCACACAACATCATATCAAACAGCATACGTACCCTATCTTTGTATTGGGCAGCATCTCGAATGCGTTGTTGGTCCCAACTGGTCACCAGCTGCAGCGCCTTTTGTGGATCTGATGAACAACACGCCATCCACAGCTGCTCTCCATCATCACTCATGGTAACGGTATCTCTCTCTATTCACCATCCACTTCAAACCGCTTTGCTTGCTTCTCCAATCTCATGAGCCCCCTCCAAGTACAACTCGTCTGACAACCCAGAATTCGGACTGGGATCCAACAGCGCCGTTTCCAAAACGGCAGCCGGTCAGCGGGCTCTTTGCTCTTCTCTGCCTGATGCAACAAACGACTCACCTGGAAAAAAATAACTTGGTTGACAGTTGCGAGGACCGGTGGACTTGGTTGCCCAACCGCACGTTGTCGACTGCGAGGCAAGATCAGTGAGGCCAACTTCAGTTGAAAGCAAAACAAATGGCAGCAGTGCTTTCAATCAAAACGTTCTGAGGCCCCAACCAGGAAAGCGTACCAAGCACAAGCGATCAGTCGTCACACACACACACACACACAAAGCAAGACACGTCAAGTCAGCTGATATCGAGATCGAGACCGATGCCAAAGAGGGGAAGAAGAAGAAGAAGTCAAAGGCAAATGGCAAAAGCCAAAGAACGAGAAAAATGCGAAGAACACACACACACACGTTTACACCTTTTTTCTTCTTTTTTAATTTTTTATTTTCGGAGAAAAAGTCAAAACAACAACAGTCTTACAAGCAAATGTTCCAAAGCGCCGTCAAGCTTGTGTCCGTACCAACGTGGACTGCCCCTTTGCCTGGCATGACAGCTCGCCTGTTACGAGCAGCTTCTAGAGCACCACATATCTGGGGCCTGTACGTACAACGTGTACTGTGCCATGGCTTGACAAGCCCGTTTGGCTAACTGCCTCTCCAGTCATATCAATCTCATCTCCTTGCCCGGATGCGAGCGACCATTCCTGACGGCGAGCCAGTCAGCTTTAGGTTCATTGCCGTGGCAGTCATTGGAAGCGATGAAAAAAGGGCCAATGATGCTGCTCGTTCCCTTTGGACGCGGGTTGAGGTTTGCATGGGAAGCGAGATGGTAAGGTGCAGAGGGAGGCAAGGCGCGCTCTGGCCACGACGAAGAGGAGGTTTGAAGATGGGGCACGGTGCGGCGCATGCCAGTTTTTGACCCCTTCTGTAGTCGGAAAGCCCGACCGTCGACGCCTTGATCCCCTCAGAGCGCCCACATCATTCAACACCCCTGCCAGAAGCAGAAAGGGAGATCGGCCTCTTGAAGTCAATTGAACCAGCCGCGGTTGGCAAGCATCCACAGTGACCAGACCAGGTGCACCGCTCAAGCCCGAGGATGGGGAAAGTGCAACCCGTGCCCGACCGCAGGTGTCACAACAAAGGAAACAACAGTAGTGACAAGCTTATCACCCCAGGGCAGCTGCCCAGGCATCATCATAAGCCATTCAGGCAATCATTGGAGCACTGTATCGACGACAACGGTCTCTCGGAATCCTGAGTTTCATGACTGCTTCCAGCACACGGTTGCCTTGATACCTCGACGACTGTAGAGGCGGTCAAAAAAAAAAAAAAAAAACTTTTTTCGAGGGATTCAACCGGCGTTTGTCGGGACGGAACAAGATTTTTCTGAGGTCGATCGTACCAACTGCGGTTGGAAAATATTCACAGTGACCAGACCAGGCACACCGTTGGAATAGCTCTAGAATCAGGGAAAGTGCGACGTGTGTCCAAGCGCAGGCCTACAACAAGAAGAGACGACGGTAGTCAAAGGCGCATAAGGCCTGACAGTCTGCCAAGGTCTTGCAAGGCACACAAACACGCGCGAGGTTGACTTGTGAGCCTTCCCACGTTCAAATTTTGTCCTCTCATTTGAAAACTTTGAAAATTATAAGGGCCACCGACACGGTGCCGTTTACAACATCAATGCTCTGAAGATGCAGCCAATCAGGTGCAGACAAAGCCATAAAACAAACGAAAGCTCAGAAGCAAGCATCTCATGTCACCGCCAACCAATTTACTGTAAAATTCAAGGCCTTTATTCATGGCCGTAAACGTTCTCGAGCATAAACAGCACGATATCCTCCGAGTTCCAATACGCCGTGTGAGCATCCAAGGCAAAGAGGGATTGCGACACTGCCTCGGTTGGCGCTTCCTGAAGCATGTAGTCCAGCCGCCGCTCGGGATTCAGCTGCGAAACGCTCCTTGTGGACCCATCTTCTGCCAGCATGCTTGTATCTACGCACCCACAACGTCTGATCATCCACAACAAGCAGGCATCCCACACCAACGGTTCGAATTCGGCCCACATAGCAAGGCAGTGCGCATCTCGACTAACCAGTGCTGGACACGAGTTGCTTCAAGTTGCTGGCGTTGACACCGTAGTCCTCCAAGCCTAAGCATGCCACCCCGGCCAAACGTATACACGTCAAGGCTGTCAGCCCACCCCAAGCTTTCCCTGGTCCAATCGCTTAGCTCCCGCAAGTATGACCAGTCTTGTGCTTACCTTTGCCGGTGCGCTTGCGCAGGGCTTCGCTAAAGGACGTCACGGCACTGCCCGCAAAGGATGTCAACTCTTGGCGTAGGTCGCGTCCCGCACCACGCAGGTATGTTTGCAGTTCTACCGACAGCATCGACACCGTGGTGCCAGTGGGGCATCAAGTGAGACCGATTGAAAATCTGGCTCGACTCGAGCCAAGCATGGGTCATGTAGAAAGTGTTCCACAAAAAACAAACAAACCCCAAATTCAAAACAAACAGAAACGCGCACAAGGCAAGGACACACCCTTGTGCAGTCGTCGGCCAGAACGATTGGCGTGCGCCACTTGTGCTGGGGGAAGCTCGACCATGGTCTCGTCGACCAGCGGCTCCAAGCGATATGCCATTGGGTCGTATGGATGAAACACATTGTACACACGCTCGCACGTCTTCAATCGACTCTCGGCTGTCAGGTCAGCCGCCACACGCTGTGCAAGGGCCCAGCCTATTCACACCCCCAGACACGCACCATAATGTGAGCGCAGTGCCAAGCCTTGGTCAGTTTGAGGCATCCCATATGAGGCATACGCACCAACGGGAGCACCACACAGAAAGAGCGCGGCCAGTTGCTCTTCCAAAACAGGAAATTGGACCGTGTGGGCCTCTCGCTGCGCCTGCTGCAACTTGGCTGCAGCGGCCTACAAAGCTCACCGCAACCACAGCAAAGTCAATGAGCCAGATAACAAAGTAGCATGACACTATATGAACAAGAAGAAAGGAGATGCGCACCTTGGCCTTGGCTTCTGCGGCCTCCGCCTGAGCCCGACGCTGCTGCAAGGCTCGTTCCTGCTGCTGCACCAGTGCCGCCTGACGGGCTTTTTCCTATTATGACCATCGAAATGAAACTGCGAGTGCCTGTCCATCGGTCACGAATACCGACACAAGGATTTGATCATGCGCGCAAACAAAACAACGTCGGCGACGCACTCAGACGCCTCGACTACATACCAAATAGGCCTCCTTCTGGGCCTGTCGTTGCGCAAAGTCTTCAACCACTATCACATTTGGGAAAGGAGGGGGGGACAATATGGTCAGGATGAGGCAGCCGGCCAGAGCAGCCAAGAAACCAACACGAACGAGTGGGCCACACGGCCCATTTGCGGAAAGATGAGCCGCTCACCCTTTTCCAGTTTCTTGCGACGACCCATGTTCAGCCCCAGGTCCTTCATATCAGTAGTGTTGAGCTGGGCAAACGACTCGAGGTCAATGCCCTCCTCCTGGAGCTGGGGCAACAGATCCTCAAATTCGTGTTCTTTCAGCAGGGCCTCGAGCGTCACATCGTCCGCCAGGTGAGCAGGGAGCTGCACGGCTTCCTCCTCCGTGCTGGGGTCTGTCTCAATCGGAGCAGGGGTTGCGTCATCGCCCACAACTGCGGCATCCACTGCAGCCACCTCGGTCTTGTTCTCTTGACCTGACACGCCCACACGTTGTTATTTCGCGCAATAATGGATGAGGTTGTATGCATCGGCCTTCTCATGGCTGGCATCTAAACACCTTGGCGCACCTTGAGCTGCGAGAAGATCAAACATGGCCACCCCGCCTAGGCCATGACCCATGACGTTGACGGAGCCGGTAAAGGCGGGATTGTTGGCACGGAAGCGGTGGATGGTCTCGGCCACTGCTGCAGCCACTTTATCGACGCAAGCTTGGCGCTGGAGAATCAAAGATGCGCCGAGAACATTGTGTGAGCGATTGTGCAACCCGAGCATTTGCGTGCCTCAACTTGAGGGATGGCTTCATAAGCAGATGGGGCGTGACACACCTCGACGGCATAGGTGACGGCGTCAAGGAGGGCCTCTTTGAGAAAATGGCGGATGCGCACAGCCGTGGGGAGCGAGAGCATGTTCATGATCCTGAGCGCGACAAAGCAAAGAGGGGCTTGTAAAAACAAAGTCTGGGTGCGTCTCAAGGTGAATGGTCATGGGCTGGTGCGTACTCGGTGGCGTCACGGACGGCGGCCATGTCGTGTTGCCAGATGACCGGTAGCAGTTCGACTCGACCCGTGCTCTTGCTATCCGTTGTCACTGGCGTGGAAGTACATCGGACATGATCATGAAGGCGGCAGGTGCGCGGACGAGGGAGACACGGGTACTTGGGGATTGCGGCTTACTTTCAAAATGCGAAGCGATGAGTTCGCGACGGTTGTATCGCATGGCATCAACGGCATCCACCAGCGAGCCGACCTAAACGGCACTTGCATGGTAAGGTCGTTTCGCAGGACATGGCAGATTGACTGAACACAAATGGAGGAAGCGGGATCCGAACCGTATCACTGGAGGCACGAAAGCCGAGACGGGCCAGGTTGGGATGTTCTGGGACGGGTCCGCTAACGACAAGGATCAGGTGGTCGATGGGCTCGGCCAGATCTTCACCTGTGCCAATCAAAATCGGATGTGAGCGCGGCCGTGAGTTCGTGTTGGGCTGTCAGCTTTTTTTTTTTTTTTTCCAAGACACTTTTGGGGTGTGAACCTTACCTTGATCAAAGTTGTCTTCACATCCTCGCTTGACAATCTGAAGGACGTTGGCGACGGGATAAGGGCTGGTCACGTGGACCAGAGGTTGGAGCTCGCATGGGTCGAGTGCTGCGCAACGGGTGCTGTGAGCCTACCTTGGGTTCTGGGGAGCCAGCTTGGTAAAGGACGTAGGAGAGCTTGTTGCGGAGGACGACGACCACGTCGTTGCCAAGCTTGACGTCGCGTTTCCAGACATTGGTGGACAAGCACTCTTGAAAGGCTGCCTACACATTACAGAGAGAGAGAGAGAGAGAGAGAGAGAGAGAGAGAAGAGAGAAAGAGAGAGAGAGAGGAGGGAGAGAGAGAGAGAGAGAGAGAGAGAGAGAGAGAGAGAGAGAGAGAGAGAGAGAGAGAGAGAGAGAGAGAGAGAGAGAGAGAGAGAGACCGAGAGAGAGAGAGAGAGAGAGAGAGAGAGAGAGAGAGAGAGAGAGACGAACGGCAGCGCCTCGCGACAGTCAGTCCCCGGCACCACCCAGTGCAACCCGCCTGTGCCAGAGTGCCAATACGATGGCATGCACAGTATGATGTACTACGACCAAAAGAGGCAGTCACGCCCTCACGTCAAATCAGCCCTGAGCGTTGATAATCGACCCTGAGAATTCAACCGAGCTATGAGAACGCCATACATGTAGTTAGCTCACACCCCCTCTTGCACGAGCACATCACACATCACAGACGAGCATCAGACCTTATCCGAGGACCCCCCGACATGGTAACAGTCCGACCACCACGCCCTGAGGGTTTTCACGCCTGCACGAAAGCACCACAATCAGGTGCATACATGCAAGTTGACTCCCCCAACGCACCTTGCACACACGCACGGCTATCCATGCGTGCATGCAGGTTCACGCACGCGCTGCGGCTCTTTTTTTTGTCCTTTTGACTCGACGGAGGACGTGCGGGGACGGGATGGCCGTTGAGATCATCAAGGCTCACAACGCCCACACACACACACACAAGTAACACAAGGAAGCAGAAAAGGTGTGATTGTATCATCTCCGCCGCGGTCTCCGTATTCACATGTC